ATCTGGAAGGGACATGATGAAGGCGAAGACTCAATGATCTGGGTTTGCCTGGGACAGCACACGACGATCTCTAAACAACTGATTAACAAATCAGCTGTGCGGGGGGCACTGCCTGTGTTCTGGCTCTGATGATTCCATCCTTGTGTTCATGAGGTTCCAGAAAACAGGTGATTAGAAAGTCAAATTTAGGAAGCATAAAACAATATGTATTCTAAGAGAAATACGTTAGAAATGTGAAGTGGACTATGACTCTTCGGGCTCAGTTGTTTAATATGCCTGATGAGCAAATTCTCAGGTTTCCGAGCATCTGACCGCTTCCTAAATGGAAAGCAATGCTTCTCAGAGTTCATCGGAAATCAGCACTGTGGTTGTCACCAAAACCTTCAGGAGCCAAGACTTGTGACCTTTCATCATTGTCTATATATACTTATTTGAAGACACATTAAAATATGTATTGAGTCAAACTCTATCAGAAACTCAACAAAGATACCACCAAATGGAAAAGGCATTTAATTCAAAAACCATACATCCACTCATTTCATAGGGATTGTCACATACACCAACCAAATGTAAGAAAACCAAGTTTCCGAGGCCTCTGAACAGAAATTGTTTTCTTTATAGATATATTTTGTGACACAAAAGCACATTTTTTAAAAGCCTGAACATGGCAACAGGGATACTAACAGGGACAAAGTTCTATTCTAGTCACAGATTACCTTCTAATTACAGCATTGGATTCTATGCATCAGTCAATAGGTAATACTGAAGTTTAGAACAGTGCATTATTCGTTATTTTAAAAGACAACATTAAAGTGCCATTAATAAGTACTTTATTGATATATCACACAGCACTTTACAGTATACTCAAAGGTAGCCTAAATTATGAATTAAACATGCAAATATTTTCTTTTCTGAAATATGGATAAAATGTCTTTTAGAGTGCTTTTAAGCACTAGCCGTAGGTACTATGCATTCATGGGTTTGATCTTTTTTGCAACATGATTTTAAATAAGTTAACAGAGAATATAGCTGTAGATAGTAACCATTTGATAAATACAAACACAGTTTTAAAATGGCACTGAGTTTACATCTTTGATCATTTTAATAGGCAATCAACAGCCTGTTTTGTGTCTCTAATTCTTAACCTCCAAGTCTTAAAGGCTGTAAAGGCTCAGCAAGTACCAGCTCATGTGGGTCTCTATGAGTGTCTGTGTCTTCCTAGATGTAAATATGTGCTGTACACACACACACACACACACACACACACACACACAGAGAAAGAGAGAGAGAAAGATACTTTAGAATCAACAGATATACATTGTCAGATACAAGGTAGATTCTGGCATCTGGATAACCAAGAAAGCTGCTTTTACGTTTCTGGACAAGTTTGTAGAAATGGTTGATGTGGAATTGTATAGAATGTCTTAGCTTCTCCAGTACTGCTCCAGGTAACTGACATTTTGTTTATCAATACTCTGCTTCTGACTGTACTAAAGAGAATTTTGAGATAATCTAACTGCTACCCATACATGGGTCTAGGACCGTGCTAAGCCTTTGCTCTCTAAACCATTCCACCTTGAGAGACATGTTCGCTTTGCAATGTCCGGCATAACTTTTGTAAAAATATTAGCTGTGAAATTTTTCTGTGATCATTTTTCTCCCCAGTAAGAACGGTATTTATCCTTCTAAAAAAGTTACCGAAGCTCCTTAGGATGGTTTCCCTTTCTCTTTCTCTCTGGTCCTGGTGTTACTTTGCACCCAGCATTTTTACCTCCCAAGAATACAGGTGCTTCCACTGGAACACCACATTTCAGCAGGACTAACTCTAATGACACCTGGATTCTCTTTATGGCCTTTCTCTCCACTTGGGAAGCTCTTTAGTTAGATAGACAGGTGCTGTAGGCGGCAGGAGAAAAAACGTTAATTACTTGTTGGAGTCTTGTCGCAGGCATGCTGTGGGACTGTGCAAGAGTCACTGCTCTGCTGCTGTTGTCATTTTGATGCTACAATTACAGAGAAGCGGTTCAGCACCCAGCTCATTGGTGTGGCTGCCAAACACATTTGAGCAAGACAAGATAAATTTTTTAGACACCAGCACAGGGTGTGGGAGAGGACATCCTGCTGACTTTATAAAGGGATATGGGGCAGGGTTGTCGAGGTAAGTGATTATTGTCAAGTTTACCAGAGATGATAGATAACTCCCTTCACAGAACACCCAGGTCATTCCTTTTCAAGTCAGCTAAGAGGCTGTTTGGTTTCTGCAGTGCTGGCTACCTACCTGTGGAATATGATTGCTCTTAAAACATTCAGTACTTGGGCAAACTCTGGGTGCCATGGTGGCCACTGCTGTCTCTGGGAGCGTCATGTCCACAAAACTCAGTCATCCAGACTTGCTTTTGGGAGCAGAAGCCAGAGGATGACAGGTGCCAACAGACCGGCAGGGATCAGGTTATCTTTGGCTTCTTGTTTCTGTCTCACTCCCCCTCAACTGTGAATGCTTTCAGAGCCTCTGTAGCCAAGACAGAGCTTTTAGTGAGACAGTAGTTGCCATTTTCAGGCGATAGAAACTCAGGGGGTAGAAGTCCTTCCCTTTTAGCTGCAGGTATGGCTCACACAACTCTGCAGCTCTGGGCAAGTGCCTTGGAATGTCCTTGTCACCAGTATGGCTCCATCCTGCTAATGCCAGTCTGTCAATACTTGATTGCTCATTCTTTCTCTTTGCCTCTCTGTCCAAAAAGCACTCGGTGAGAGGAAATGAACCAATCAATGTTCAAAAAGACGGTTTGGTCTGACAAAGAAGACACATACTGGCCGTAGAAATACTTAAGACATGAAGCTAAAGACTGGCTCCAATTCTAGGACACCGAGGCAGGCCGCACTGCACACGGTCCATCCCTATGTATGTTTATTTTGAAAAACAGGAGAGAAGATCTTCAGTCTCCAGCAAGTCAGGGTTATCTTGCCTGGGGGCAGGGATTTGAAACTAGCTATCTTCTCCTGGTATGGCATTCTTTAGCTATGAAATTTTGCTAGTAACCTGAAGGAAGAGAGGCTGACCTTAATACTCCTAAAAGATTCAGACTCTGGCTAAGTGATCCCTGGGCCTTACAGAGGAAATTGGAGGCTACTGGGAAAGCTCAGGGATTCGGGGCCATGGTTTTCCACTCTGATAACCAATTCATTCTCCTAATCTGCCCTAACGTTTCCTATTCTCACAGAGAGAGTCAGAGGTAGGGGGCGTGGATAGGGGAGAGAGTAAAATCTTTTCGTCTTTGAGTTCTTTCCTACTCTTTGGCTCATATTCTGAAGATTATCCAGTTTTGTAGCTAATAGGAAGGAGGGGAGCCTGGCTGGGCAAAGGGAAACAGAGCAGCCATCTGTCATGGGCACCGTTATAGCCACAGGGAAGCTGGGGAGGAGGTTACCTAAAAGATCCCATTGGCAGCAGCTCATGGGCACTGCACAGCCACAGGGAAGCTGGGGAGGAGGTTACCTAAAAGATCCCATTGGCAGCAGCTCTGTTTCCCCCGGTTTCAAATCAGAGCCAACTCAGGAGGGAGAAACATGCTTCCAAGCAGTGAAGCTGGGGCCAAGTGTCGACAGGAATGCTTCGTGAGGCACTCCCAAAGCAAGGATCTTGGCCTCCTGTTCCTCCACATGAGCTCCAGGTAAGTTTATGATGGTGCAGATGACAACTTCAAAAGTCAAATGTGGTCAGCCATGGTGGCTCACACCTGGAATCCCAGCACTTTGGGAGGCCGAGGCAGACAGATCACTTGAGGTCAGGAGTTCTGCGGCGAAACACTGTCTCTACTAAAAATACAAAAAACTATCTGGGCATGATGGCTCATGCCCATAGTCCCAGCTGCTGGGGAGGCTGAGGCAGGAGAATCACTTGAACCTGGGAGGTAGGGGTTGCAGTGAGCTGAGATTGCACCACTGCAACCCAGCCTGGGCCGCAGAGTAAGCCTCCATCTCAAAAAACAAACAGAAACAAAAAACCCCATCAAATGTGTTAAAAGTATTATGTTGGTCTCTCCTTGGATGCCCATTCCCTGGGGGCCCCATTTCCCAATGTCTTCTTGTCGTCAAGTCCACAGAACTAACCTATTAGTATATTCCCTTTCTTCTCAAGTTTTCCCCAATGGCTTTCTTGAGTTCTATCTTGGTCCTGTCCATTCTTAATTCTTATTCCCTGAATCAATGATAGTGTCTCACTTGCTCCTGGGTGAACCCCAGGAAAAGTGCCGCATAATCCTTGAGCTGATGAACTGAGTAGTGAATCACAATGACAAACCCGTTAACTTTCAAACCACCTGTAAAGCTCTGACTGCACAATCTACATCCCTTCTGAGTCTTGTTCTTCTTTTGGGATCATAGGGAATTGGAGGTGAGCGGGAAGAGATTAAAAATGTTTAGGAAGAGGGAAAGCAGCAGCACATTAAGAACTACAGATTCTAAGAAGTTGGTTTTTTAAGAACCTACAGATGCACATGAAATCTGAAAACAAGCTAGCTCATCTACACTTCCAAAGCCTCAGAAGATGTGCAGTAAAGAAAGAAGTAAGGAGCACAGCAATTTGACTCATCTCTTTCTGTCCTGATATCTAGGGGGTACCAAGAAATACACCTGAGAAGAAAAACAAAAAATCATATGCCTGGACCCACCTATTTAAGTCCTGAGCTTCATCTTACTACTAAGTAGGCACTCTTTGAAAAACTCATTGCCTGGAGATGCTCTTCCCATCTCCAAATCCAAAGCCCAAGGAATGCTCAGAAACACATAAAGAAGACTGAACACCACTGATGAGTCATGCCCACCAACAGGACAGCAGAGAGGAGGGCATGTGCTCTCCTTTCTTCAGGCCAAAGTGGGGACAGCAACCGTGACTCTCTCCAGCCTTGCCTCCTCTCTCTCCCTCTTAAACATACCTGTTCAGCAATCCAAGCCTAAGTGTATGAGCAACTAGCTTAAAGAATATCAAATATAAAACTTTGCCATATAGTATTTCAAATCACTCTATTTACAAGCTTATCTTTTCAAAAAACAAAAAAACAAACAAACAAAAAAAAAACGTAAAAGATACAGTAATTCAACACAATTCAAGTTTTTCTTTTCTTCTTTAAAGTTCCCTAACAAGGAATTCCAGAAACAGGAAACACTCAGGCAACGCTGCCATCCAAGGGGCTCCTGGGGAGCCTGACGGTCCATCAGTTTGTAGTTTGTCTAGTCACCCTTGCAAAGACATTCACATGTGGGAGATACGGATGACTCTGCTGTTTGAAGGCCAAGTGAATTTGAAATGTCCAGGCAGAACTTCCCCACTCAAGGCAGTCTTCATAAGACCCAGCCTCTTTTCACCAGCAAATTCCCTTATTCAAAGGGTACCCATCCCACCCTCTAACGTTTGGCTTCTTCCTGAATCACAATAACCTACATTAGTCTCATGCCTTGAAAGACGGAGAAACAATTCCCTTTTTCTGAATGGCAGTGAACACAGACGTCATTTTAAGCTACAGGCCATAAGGTTAGCGTAGGAATTGTCCTTGAAAACCACCACAGCACCAGTGTTCAGCAGCCCACAGCAGGGCGAGGGGGTGGGCCAGTGGTGGGTTAGAGGCAGGCAAGGGTGGGAGCAGGGATGGGTGAATGAGAGGACATGGGGGAACCGGTCAGATGACATCACCCATGGGGAGGCAGCATCTTACCCTTTAGAAAGCAACTGTCTGTGGCATGAAGGAACAGAAATATTAAGACTATGTAATTCCATCTCAAGAGGTTACTAGAGTGTGCTCCAAATATATCCTGATGCTGCTGAAATTCATCAGAAAGGGAAGAGTCCCAGCTACTATCCTGTCTGCCTTAAGCAGACCACCCTAATTCCTTCATTCTTTGCTTCGAGTTCTTAGAAAACCATTCAAAAAAGTATACCAAAAAGGTAAGAGAAAAAAAAAATGTGTCATGCAAAGAGGATTTTTTTTTTTTTTTTTGGTTTGGTTTTAGAGTAGGTTGGGTTGCTGTGGTTACTAGGTGATGGATAGCAGCCTTGGTGGCAAAGAGGTTCCTAGCCTGGGAGGGAGAAACGCAGGGTGTATGTATTCCTGTGCATGAGAACACTGGACTGAATCTTGCTGATGATGGCCAACGGCTGCTTTAGAGATGGTGAGAGATTGGATCTTACATAAACAGTGCTTTAGCCCTCTTCATCCTGCATGCAAACAGACCTAGCTGCCTGTAGCACTGCAAGTCTCAAGTACTGAGAGGTGGAGTAGAGAGCGTGCCTACTGCAAACAAAAGCAAAGATCCAGCCTGGATCTCGGCGCCAATTTCTTCACCCAGCCCCATCAGACTTAACTACGCAGTGTGTTCTGGGGTACTGCTATCTGACTTCCTCTTTCCGAAGGCTGGGCGTTTGGACCGCTGAAACAAAATGAGTGCCCCCTATTTAGGAAACTCATGAGAAAACAGCTTTGCAAGTCTTTCTCTCAGTTATCAAAATCAGATGGCCTCCTCTGCTGATTGACTTCTGTTTCTTGCAGTATTCATGAGTATTGGCTGAGATGATCATGGAGATGAGTGACACCAGAGCTCACAGAAACATTCATGTTGACAGGTAGCAACAGAGTCAGTCACGCTGCATTTCTCGGTGGCAAAGAGAAATGGCCTATGACACTGGAATCAGCAGTTGTCATGGATACCATGTAAAGCTCAGCAGTTCTGCTGGGGCCCACGGTTAGAGGAACTCCACGTAGTTCTCAGGGATGAGGCCAGTCTTTCCGTTCAGAGTCCCCTCCAACCAGCCAGGCTCCTGAGAGGGGTGAACTGTACAGGAAGGGGAGAGAAAGCGAGAAGAGATGACGTTATAGATAGAGCAGGTGGCAGATGTGTGTGGGGGGTGTGTGTGTGCAGGGGTGGTGGTGGTTTGTGTGTGTGTGTGTGTGTGTGTGTGTGTGTGAAGGAAGCTTGGACAATGATTACAATCACTTGTTAAATTACATCATTCTAGAAGTTTAAACCAGAAGTTCTGAACTTTTTGTGGAATATAAGCCTTCTGATGAAAGCTATTCTGAACTTTCTTCACAACAAAAAAGGAAACAGACACAGACATTCAAAATTTTACAATTTTAGGGGTTTCATGAACTTTCTGAAGTTCCTTGTTTAAACTATAAAGAAGTGACAGATTCTTACTTTGTAGGTTAAGAGGGCAACCATTGTCCTGGTCCATCCATATATGTATCCATCCATCCATCCATCCATCCATCCATCCATCCACCCACCTACCCACCCACCCACCTACCTGCCCAGTATCAACTATATACTGAGTGCAGTATCCATGAAAGACTGCTAAGAACTAGTCTTTAAAGATATCCAGCTTCTAGAGGCTGGGCCTGGTGGTTCATGCCTGTAATCCCAGTACTTTGGGAGGCTGAGGCAGGTGGATTGCTTTAGCCCAGGGGTTTGAGAACAGCCTGTGCAACATGGCAAAACCCCGTCTCTACAAAATATATAAAAACTAGCCAGGTTTGATAGCACGTGTCTGTAGTCCTAGCTACTTGGAGGAGGGGGAGTGCTGAAGGGGAGGATCATTTGAGCTCAGTGATTGCACCACTGCACTCCAGCCTGGGCGACAGAGCAAGACCCTGTCTCAATCAATCAATCTAGCTGCTAATCATCATCTTACTTTCCTTCAAATCCTTACCCCTGCTTCTAATTTCCTTGTACATTTTCTGTTTTTTTTTTTTTTTTTTTTTTTTTTTTTTTTTGTGGTTGTCATTTTGAACATCCTTTGAATAGCCATTTCTCTGTTTTGCTCACACCCTTTCTTAGTTTTCTTTTCTGTTCTCTAGATTTCCCCGTCTTCTAAATACCAGTTGGAAAATTGTTTTCTTCCTCCTCCTATTGCCCTTTGATTTTTCAGTATCCAAAGAATATATATATACACTTTTGTGACATCATGATCCATCTCCATGGAAACCATTGTGATATTAGAAAGATTACATAAAATCCAGCTGAGTCTGCAAAGTAGCCAATAGCAGGAAGGAAGAGAGAAGGAATCATGGGACTAAGAGGTGGGGGATGTTTGCACTTGTCAACTGAAGATACGTAGATCACTCTGGGGTGAGGCAAGGCATTTACTCTTAATGTGTTAGGAAAACTCCAATTTTCCAAGATTATTTGGAGAGGATAGATTTTCCCCTATTCCCTTCCTGGGCTAATTAAATGACTTCCTGAGCTTGTTTTAGAAAAGCATTTCCGCCCCGACACTGCTATTGAATTCTAGTTTCAGTTTGCCGGGAAAGAAGCAATAACAGAAACCAAAGGAGGCAGATGGGAGGCGGCAGCAGAACCGGCACTGAGGCTTCCAGAAGGCCAGTGTCAGTCAGCTTTGGGCACACCTTAAGTGCCTCCTCAGGAAAAGACAAGGCCAAACATCCACTCGTTGGTCTCCAGAGCTGGCCAATTTCAGAACACTAGGCTTCAGGAATAAACAGCAAGGATACTCTGGGTTCATGACAACCCATACAAGACAGACTCTGGGAGAGAAGTGCCTTGGAAGAAGAGAGAGCTTAAAAGCAACCTGGCCTCTCCAATTACCAAAGCTCTCCCATGCCACTCTTAAAGAACACCCCAATATTCCTGCCCTCTGCCCATCCAACCAAAGCTTCCAAGATTGCTTCCGTTTCTGCACTTCATACTGGCAACAAGACTCTCTTCCCTTTTGTGGGTTCCTGCAGGTATGAAAGGACCTAGTGTGGATAAAGCACTCTGCACAGAGCCAGGCACAGAGCAAATGCTCAGGGCAGGCTAGTCAGTAGGAGACCCTGGATCAGGACTGCTCAGCAAGATCCCCTTCCAGTAAAAACCTAGTAAAACCAGATGGCCCTTACCACCTACCTAAGCTTCAGAAAAAAATCAAAGGTTTAGAACAAAATTACCAAACTCATTCTCCAAAACAAAAGACCTAGCAAGAATAAAGTAACCAAACTGACAAAACAAAAACCCTAAACTGGGCCCTCCCACTTTACAGCAAAGCTCTGAGTTGAGCTGTTACTCTACCGGATGCTCTGAGTCCATTTCCTTCAGACTTTTCTCCTTTTCCTGGTCACCCGTTCAAACACAGCACGGGTACAGGGCTGGAAACACTTACAATGCAATTTGGGGACTCAGGGAAGAATTAGAGGGGACAAGAGAGGCCCTCCAAACTCGGGGCTAAGAGGTATCACAAGATAACACAGCCTTTGGGTCGGCTGCTGACTCGCTGAGTCTTCAAGCCAGCGTTTACTAAAGCTTATGTCAAACCATGTGCATCAGAACCCTCGGGATGCTTGTGCAAACTGCACATATCTGGGCCCCATGGCAAATCAATTAAAGCAGAATCTCTGGGAGTGGGACCAAGGAACTTGTATTTTCACTAGCTCACAGAAAGTTGGGAGCTATAACTTTTCTGTGCCCAAATGCCTCTGAGTTAAAACACAAATTTTCACTTACTGATGGAGGAGGGAGGCAGCATCACAAACCCCCCCATCCCCCCTCCCCCCGCCCCCCGCCACTTCTTTCTGCTGTCTTCTGTTTCCATGTTAAGGCTTAGCTGCTTAAGGCCTTTGAGAAGCCCCACTTCATAAATATTACCATGGAATCCCTTCTACCTGCTCCCTCCTCCTCCAGACTCCTAAAATGCTCATAGAACATCCTACATAGTATTCATGGGTCCTATTTATATGCCGTTCAAATGCGCTAAGCTTTGCTTGTCTATCTAGTTTTTCAGCACGTTTTGGTTTGGATTATAGCACTTCCTAGCTCGACAACCTTCAGTAACTCCCTTCTGCTTCGTGAATTATAATGATACAAGCTAACACTTAGATCTATTATGAAGCTGCCGTGTGCTTAGAGTATTAGACATATTGATTCATTTGATCCTCAAGATCTTAGTTTGTACTATTATTATCTGTATTTCGTAGAAGGGAATACCAAGGCTCAGAGAGGTAAATTAATTTGCGCATGGTCATAATACTAGAACCAAAATCTGAACCCAGCTTGTTTGACTCCAGAGACCAACCCCCTTCCCACTCTATCAGGCCTCCATTTAACCAGAGGTGTGACCCTTGCCGATAAGGATGATAACACATGTTGAGCACATGCTAGGTGGCAGACCCTCTGTGAACATGCATGTCACACCTCTATTTCCCCATTCCATCTTCAGCATGACTATGGAGTCGGTTCTGCTATTATCCTCACTTTACCGATGAAAAACTGAAGCTCGGAAAAGTTAAGTTTCTTGGCCAAAATTAAATAGTAATAGCTGGCAGATGATGCAAGCGAATCAGAGCTCAGGACACCTGATCCCAGAGTCTGTTGTCTTAGCTACTACTGCTGTTGCCTGGCCCAATGCTCCGAACTTCAAAGATGCTAAGTGCCTGTCGGACTGAATGGCACTAACGTCCAACACTGAACTGTACCAGGGTCCAACATGCTGTACGAACACAAAAGGTATCGCCGCAAGCTGCCTGAGTGGCTCTTCAGCCAGCAAGCATATACTAAATATAAGCCGCTGGGGACTTGGGTAGGCTTCCTGCCAACCAACCACTGTCTCTTAGCTATGCCCCTGTGTACACAACATACTCTGCGTACACAACACATGTCTTCTGCCCTCCTTCGCTCACCATGGACAAGGAGCAAGTGCGTGACTAAGGTCTCTAGTGGCTGACTGTCCCCAAAAGAAGTCTTAACTAAAAGAGGTGGAGACCCCTGGGTAATTTACATTCACTCATTTAACAAATGTTCACTGAGCACTTACCACATGCTACAGATGCCATGCTAGGTCCCCACTTCTGTGCACACAGCACAGAACAAGCAGATAAGATTTTGCTCTCCAGGAAGGACAATCAAGCAGTAAGCAAGCATATACTGTTGGGTGGTAGTAAGAGGAGAGGGACAGGCTAGAGCAGTGGGTGGGGCACGTGCAGTGGCTCTGTGATGGGAAAAAGCTGACATGACTTCAGAAGAGTGGTGTGCATGTATTTCTCAAAGGGCCTCTCTCTTTCCTCTACTCTGGCGTTGTAGTGCCATAGATAACATGCAGACACAAAGGCATGAGTGCCTATGTTCCAGTAAAGCTTTATTTACAAAACAGGTGGTGGGCTGGATTTAACTGGCAGCTCATGGTTTGCTGACCTTACTTGAGAACATAAAGAGGCTGCCGTACTACGTACGTGAGGGTGAGAGGAGGTCAGAGAGGGTAGGAACTGGGCCCCGGAGGGCCTTGTAAGTAACTCTCAGAGCAGTGGGAAGCCACCGATGGATTTTAAGCAGGGAATAAAATACGTGGTTTTCATTTCCAAAGATGACTCTTGCTGCTGTGTGAAGGGGTTGTGGAAGCGAGCGACAAGATGGGTTTGGCAGTCAGTGGAAGCGTCCCGGGGAGAGGTGGAGGTGGCCTGGGCTTGGGTGTGGCAGCGACGATGGCAGGGAAGCTGAAGGACATCCCTGACTGCTCTCCTGTTAACCCATTTCCTAGGCAGCTTGGCGGCTCCCCAGTGAGGATATTCTCCATCACTAAAGGAAACTTGGGACAGCCCTGCTGTGAGGTGGTGCTGTGTCAGATACCATGGGAATGAATGGATTCAGCTCCTGTCAAATCTTGTTAAAAGTATCCCTAGAACCCAATTTTAGTGACTGCCATGTGCATTTTCCAGGTATCACGAATCACGTGGCTTCAAGATGACTAATGTTACTGAGAACGTGAGCTATTTCTCTTTCCAATTACTGTCTGAGGTGTTCTTGCCGAAATGGACAGTTTCCCAGTAGATTGGCCAGGGCTGACACTGGAATTATTTCTAGGTATTGCACATCCTTTCCCACTGCACAAAGTCCATGAGCTGACAGCAGTAGCCACTCCAGAGTCACAGTAGGGGCCCCTGGAATCCAAAGGCTTTGCGATTAATCATTACAAAACAAGACTTTCTCCTTCACAGGCCCCTCCCTTTTCCTCTTATTCATTCTTCTTAATCCTGAAACACACACGCACACGCACACACACACACACACACACACTTTCTTCTGATTGGTTTGATGATTTAATCTGCCAGCTACACAGCATACAAATTAAACAGCCCTTACCTAATATTCCCAGGGTAAACTAACAAGTGATGGAACAAGGAAAAAGACCTCCCTGCCTGACAGAACAATACTGTTCTTCTGTAAGGCCGCCTTTGCTCCTATAGAAGTGAGGGGGTGGGGAGGAAGAGGGTCTATGTAAGCATTTTCCTTTGGAAAGAAGACCTAATAACATATTTTCAGCTAACCCAATTGAGAAAATGTGCTAACATTTCATCAGGTCCATTTTCTACTGCAGCTCAGAGGTGTTTTCTTTCAGGTTTAATTTGGCCTTCTGCTCCTCAGGGAATTTGAAAGGTCACTGTCAAGGCTGGTTAAAAACAAACCAGGGTCAGTGAACTCTGCCATGACTCCTAGAGACCACAGGAAGGCTGGAGTAAGGCCTCTCACTCGATCCACCAAAATTCCCTTCTGGTCTCATCTACCAACACATACAGGATTTATAATGATTACCATGCTGTGGACGACAGCAGATACAGCACCTGCTAGGTGACAGGTGGCTGGATTTGACCGGCAGGTCATAGTTTGTTGACCTTATTTAAATGAGAACATGAAGAAGGCTCATGAGGCTGCAGTATGTCAAGTGACGGGGAGAGGTCAGAGGGGCAGAAACTGGGCCTTGTAAGTAATTCTCAGAGCAACAGGAGGCCCCTGAAGGACTTTAATGCGATTTCCATTTTTCAAAGATCACTCTCACTGCTATGTAAAGAAGGGGTGACGGGAGCAAGAGTGGAAGTGACAAGATGTGTCAGGTGGCCAGTGGCAGTGCCCGGGTGAGAGGTAGAGCTGGCTGGGGCTTGGACGTGGCCATGAATATGGCTGTGGAAGCTGAAGGACATTCTGCTGGGAAAAAAAAGGACTTGGTAGTTAACAGTCATCCAGGCTTCTCTTCTCTTCTTGCCTTTTTTCCTCTTTATGCTTAACTCTTTAAGCCACTGCAGAAAGACTTAAAAATGAAAGAAGTCAGGAACATAAAACAGTGCAACTTCTTTCTCTCTTTTTTTTTTTTTTTTTTGGAGACAGAGTTTCGCTCTTGTTGCCCAGGCTAGAGTGCAATGGCGCCATCTCAGCTCACCGCAACCTCCGCCTCCTGGGTTCGAGCGATTCTCCTGCCTCTTCTTTGTGAAACAGTTTGGTGTTTCCTCAAACACTTAAACACAGAGTTAATATGACCCTGCAATCCCACTCCTAGGTGTATCCCGAAGAGAACTGGAAACCTATGCCCTCACAAAAACTCATGTTCACAGCAGCATTATTCAAGTAGCCAAAAAGTAGAAACAACATGTCCATCTACTGATGAATGAACTTAAATAAAATGTGCTGTATCCATACCATCGCACACAAAAAGGAGCAAGCCTCCGACACATGCTATTGCACGGATGAACCTTGAAAACATTATGCAAAGTGAAGAGGCCAGTTTCAAAGATCATATACTGTATAATTCCATTTGTATGAAATGTCCAGGGCAGGCAAATCTAGGGAGACGAAGTAGAAGCATGGTTGCCTTAGGCTGGATGGAAATGGGCTGTGGTGAATAGGGCATGACTGCTAAAAATACAGGGTTTCTTTTGGGGGTGATGAAAATATTCTGGAATTACATAGTGGTGATGGTTGCACAACTCTGAATATACTAAAAACCACTGAATTGTACATTTTGAATGGGTAAATTGTATGTTGTGTGGCTATCTTAATAAACTGTTGGAAAATGGAAGAAGGCTGCCCTCACAGAAAGAAATCACAGCTAAAATAGAAGCATATACATAACTTTTGATAGTTGAAAACAATTCTGCCCCTGAAAGCAGGAGTCCTTTGTGTTGTCAGAGGGAATGGCTGATAGGAACACGATGATCTCTTGCCCATGTGAGCAGTGAAGTGGGACTTAGAGGACGGACCTTTAAGCCCTGGATTCACCTGCCAATGTAGAAATCTCTCAAATCCTGCTTATATACAGGCAGAAGGCCCTTCTCTGCTGACGAAGCAGGGCACAGAAGCCCAAGCAATGCAGGCCATCTGGTTTGTCTTCCGTGAGAGCCATGTCAGGTTATGGCAGGACTAGGACTCCGCCGCCTGGGCCTATGTTGGGGACACTCACCAGTGAGATGGCTTTGGAGCCTTCAGCAGACCCACTGCACCTGCAGTCTGCTGGGGCCTGCAAGCACCAGCCATGGACAGGAGAGGTGGCTGGGCTGCCTGTTTGTGCGCTTTGATTTATAAAGGGCCCAGATGAGAGTTAATGGAGCAAAGATTTAAGGACACTGCTTGAGGCTTTGAGAACTATAAAAGGGAATGCAGACTCAGAAGGCCACATGCCGTTCTGGAGTAACCCCTCCCCCTCCTGCTGACCCAGAAGGCCAAAAGTTGTGTGATCTGGGAAACCCCCGTGCTCTGTCCCCTGTTCCCCCTTCTGTCTACCCGTGCCTGGCAGATACCTCTGCTATGCTGAGTGTAGGGGCTGGGCAGACACAATGACAGCCTCTTTGGACCTGCGTACAGTCAAGGGCTGGTCCCCAGGAACCCATCTCTGCTCTGGCCTGGAATGTAAGACCTTTACAGAAGTAGCCAGGACCCATGGAGGCAGGTGCCAGCATCCACTGCCCAGACAAAAGTAAGGAAAAACTGTCACTGTGAACTATAAGAGCACCAGGGCCTTTTCTGAAGATGGATACAATGATGATGATGGTCTTAATAATAAAAATATTAACTTATTGAATACTTAATATGTGTTGAGTACCATTTTAAACATGTGGTGTGTATGATCTCTCAAAGCCACTTCCAAGTTCTGGGCTGGGTCTTCTGCAGGCACAATCTCATTTACTGTGGTAACAACTCAACTCAGAGCTGATTACATTAGTCCATTCCTCACAGTGTCTCCCGAAACCAATACACACACACACACACACACACACACACACGCACACACACACACACACACACTCACTCTCTCTCTCTCTCTCTCTCTCTCTCTCGCTCTCTCTCTCTCTCTCAGTTTTTTGTTCTTACCCATTGCATTGAGATTTTCCCTAGGGAGGAACTGTGAAAATGCTAGTTATTTATGTGATCCCCTTGCGCCCGCCCCCTGCCCATATCTTTGTGAGGAGATGAGAAACTCACCATTATCGAAGACCGTTCCTGCTGTGAACGAAAGCTCTGAGTCATGTTCAGCTTTGCAGGCATACAAGGCTTTTGCCTTCCGGAACGGTGTGCTGTGTGAAAACAGGAGTTTATTTAACGCTTTTGAAAAAACCCTTAGAAAGCCCCAGACATTTAATCTCTTTTCTTCCTTTTCCCTGTAAGCTACCTAGTCCCCTCTCATGGGAAGTGCCTGGCAAGGCAGCCAGATGGCAAGACATGAGGTGGGAAAGCTGCAAAGGTCACAGGAGAAAAATGAGAAAAATTCAGAGAAAAGCCATAAGCTTCCAGAAAGTACCCTTCCTGTGGGGTCACCTTGTGCCATGTTAAAACTTTACCTGGGAGTTATAACAGCCAAACAGCAGGAGGGCAGGCTGGGCCCCCCTTTTTTTTTTTTTTGGAAGCAAAAGTGATGGGGGAGGGGAGGGAGGCAGGGTCAGAAAAAAAAGTTCCAAGCTGCTCTGGGGAACACACTCCCAACAGACCCTGTTGAAAGCTGGCAATGCTCAGTGAGTTAAAAAGGAAAAATTCCAGCAAAGCCAAGTTTCAGTTCCAGGCCACAGGTGGACACGAGTTCCCCCAGATGTTCTTGAGTTCTTACCAGGCTGGGTCTTGCTGGTGGGGCAGGATTCCAGAACTGGAGCTCTCCAACCCCCAGGGGAGGGAACAGACAAGGTGTGTGAGGGCAATTACACATGTGTGCGCATGAGCACACACGTGCACCTGTATGGGGAGTGTGGGGAGAAGGAAGAAGGGAGGGGGACACAAGGTGTTTTGCTTTTGCTCTTCTCATGTCAGGTGAGTGTTGACAATTACTCTCACTGTGCATTCGAATCACTGAGGAGCATTTAGAAAATGCAGATGTCTGGCTTCTACCCAGATGTGCAGATATTACATAGGCATCGGTATTTTTTAAAAGCTCTCCAAGTGATTCCAATGTGCAATGAGGGTTGAGAACCACTGTTCTAGAGCAGAGAGTGGTAAACTTCTGCAAAGGGCCAGGTGGTAAATATTTTAGGCTTTGTGAGCCACATGGTCTCCATTGTGCAAGGTCATCAGAGTAAAGGTTATCTCGAATTTATTCCTGGGGCGCAGTTTACTGCTGTTCCCTCTGGTTTTCTTGGAGCCAAGATATGATGTCCAGGTGGGAAATCATTAGGAAAATAGGAGAAAATGAAGTGGGACCCCTGGGAATGAAGGAAAGAAGAGCCTTTAGTATTCCTCAGCTCCAACAGGAAAACACCTCTTCCTGTCTAATTATGATGAAAGAATAAAGTTCAGGACAAGGGACATAGTCTGTGATCCAAAGACACCAAGTCTGCGTGTTGGCCAGCAAGGGTCAAACATCCTTCGTGCACCTTTCCAGGGAGGAACATAAGAGGCTTTTCTTGGGGGTGCTAGGAAGCAGAGAGGAGGAGTGACTTGGCTGTGAAAAGTGCTAAAACAGATAAAAGACTCTACTGACAGGCATATGGAAACTGTTAGGACATTGAAGGTGAAAGGAGACTCCAGTTCACATTAGCCAGGGTCTCAGAGACCAGGTTTTGAGGCAGTATTTCTGCCTTTTGAGGTTAGGGCAGAGCAGGTGGGTAAAAAGCAAAGAGACCAGGGAAGGGGGAATAAAAACTAAGGGAAACAGTGTCTGAGGCAAGGCTCCTCGGGCTGGATTTTTGCAGACATTACTTATTCATCTCATTAAATAAAGGTAATGGGACAATACATGGGCAAGCCAGGAAAGCAGCAGAGGTATTTGGCAGGCAGAAATAAAAGGGAATAGTCTTAGGTGCCCAAGATTATCATTTAAAAGGAGTAACATTCCATTGATATTAGGTTTTTGGAATTGAGTAATGAAGTGGTAATAACATAGCATATTACAAAAATAACAGACTAGGCACTGTGGCTCACACCTGAATCCCAGCACTTTGGGAGGATGGGAGGATTGCTTGAGCCCGGGAATTCAAGACTAGACTAGGAGACCTCTATCTCTACAAAAAATAAAAATATTAGCCAGGCATGGTGGGACACGCCTGGAGTCCAGGTTACTTGGGAGGCTGAGGCAGGAGGAATGCTTGAGCCCAGGAGGTCAAGGCTGCAGTGAGCTGAGATTGCACCACTGTACTCTAGTCTGGGCCATGTAAGATCCTGTCTCAAAAAAAAAAAAAAAAAAAAAAAAAATTAAAACAAAGGCCAAGAAAGGGCCTTGTTTTCTTTTCAAGTTGATAGGTAACCAACAGTCTATGGGACGGCCTTTTCCCTTGAAATCTCCCTCTACTGCCTTAGGTTAGGCACAAAAACGGGAGAAATGACAGGGGGCCATTCCTGTTCCCCAAGAGTAGGGTTGCCAGATAGAATACAGGACACCTAGTTAAATTTGGATGACAGATTCAACAATAAATATTTCTTTAGTATACATTATGTCCCAAATATTGCATGGGACATTTGTATACAAAAACATCTGTGTTGTTTATCTACCATCCAAATTTAACTGGGTATGCGGTATTTTTTATTTTATTCGCTAAATCTGGCAACTCTACCAAAAAAGTCTTATCTTCTTAAAAGCTTGTCAGCCCAACAAGTCCAGTACCCCGTAACTCCTTCTCAAAGGCCTTAAGCGGTTTGCTTTAGGTAGGGTTCCTACCAAAACAGACAAATCCTGTTGGCAGAGATTGTGTTTGTAGGTTTTGGCTCTGATTAAAAAAAATAAAAAATCTCCACCAGGCATCATTGGTTCTTTGGCTTCCTGCTCTCCACAGTGCATCTCAAAACGGGATACAGAGAGCCTGGGGTAGTTTTCAGCTGCTCCGGTCAGAGCCCTTCAGACCTCAGCGGGGCCTTTACGGGCATGAACATGTTTGGATTCTCCTGCTAGTTCCCTTTAAATTTTCGCCTCTGAGCATGGCACAAGGCCTGGAAAACACTCAGAGGAGTTTTCCTCAAATGCCCTTGCAAGCCTTGCAAAATGATGACCCATTCTCCATCATATGGCACTACAGGGAGGTGGGGCCCGCTAGACTGGCAAGTGGCGAGGGGTCGATCATTTAGGCATAATTTCCAGGGACCCCTATGCAAATGCAAGTTACGGGTTTGGGACTACAGGCTTTTTGGGGGGAGGGATGAGCAAGTGGAAGAAATAGGAACTATGGAGGGAAGGTGTCTCCTGCACCCTTTCTCTACTGTGCTGCAAAAGGCATCTTCTTCCTGAGCTTGAACAAACAAGCTCTACAAATGGTTTGAAGCGGGGACAGTGATATGGTTTGGCTCTGTGTCCCCACCTGAATCTCATCTGGTAGCTCTCATAATTCCCGTGCTGTGTGAGGGGCTCAGTGGGAGATGACTGAATCATGGGGGAGGATCTTTCCTGTGCTGCTCTCGTGATAGTGAAAGGGTCTCATGAGATCTGATGGTTTTAAAAAACGGGAGTTTCCCTGCCCAAGCTCTCTTTTTGCCTGCCGCCATCCATGAAAGATGTGACTTGCTCCTCCTTGCCTTCTGCCATGATTGTGAGGCCTCCCCAGTCACGTGGAACTGTAAGTCTGTTAAAAACCTTTGCTTCCCAGTATAGGGTATGTTTTTATCAGCAGCATGAAAACAGACTAATCCAGACAGGAAGCAATTTCCAGAGGAAACATCATTCAGTTCATGGGGCCACTGATTAGGGCTAACTCAGTATTTACTTTTAAAGGCTTTGCTCAGGGAAGAAAGTCTGAAGCCTCATGCTCTGGAAGTAGATTTGGGGGAGGCCCCACTAATAATGGGTGTATATCACCACCTCTTTGCTGTACACTGCAGTGTATGGGTTTGGGTCCTCTCTGTTCCGCTGATGGGCTAGCTCCCCAGCAGTGTTGCTATCTGTGCTCACCTGGGAAAACACATTTAGCCCAACTCTGCCTTGACTCTTTTTTTTTTGAGATGGAGTCTTGCTCTGTCACCCAGGTTGGAGTGCAATGGCGCCATCTCTGCAAACTCCACCTCCCAGATTCAAGCAATTCTCCCACCTCAGCCTCCTGAGTAGCTGAGATTACAGGCGCCTGCCACCATGCCCAGCTAATTTTTGTATTTTTAGTAGAAACAGCGTTTTACCATGTTGGCCAGGCTGGTCTTGAACTCCTAACCTCGGGTGATCTGCCTGCCTCAGCCTCCCAAAGCGCTGGGATTACAGGCGTGAGCCACTGCGTCTGGCCCGCCTTGACTATTTCAAGAGGGCAGCTTCCTAAAGGTGTCCAAATGGCACAATTCTAACAATGGCCAGGGGAGGAGGTATTGACTAACTGTGACCCCAAATACACAAGATGAGCCGATTGTATTGCCACTGTCCTCTGCCAATCTGGAAATGCTTTGAGAGGCAGAAAGGAGTAGGAAGGAAAAACAGTATGGTAATATTTTGGGAGATGAAAAGGAGTGAAGAGGTAGAGACACTTCCTAAGAAACAGGGCCCCAGAGCTCAGACACACAAAAAAGTGAGTACCATCAAGGCAGAGAGAACGTTTTAGGATTTTAGCTGAGTGATTCCACTGTCTTGGGTCTCTTAACCCATTTTGTCCGAGGGGCCAATATTTTGAAAATTTCACTCCTTTTTGATAAAAATGAAGGAACTGCATTCTCCTAAAGCCCAAGTTTCTCTAATGAGCAAGTGAGGTATTTTGGAAGCTGACGTGTCTGTGGTCACTTAGTTTCCTATGGTTCAGGTCCTCATGTTCTAATGAGAATAATCCATGTCATTTCTGGTATCTTAGAAAGTTAATGTCCCCCGAAGTGCCCAGAAGATGTCCAAGAAATGACTGGAAAATTACTAGAATGTCAGGAAGACATGATCTGAAAATTTCTCTTATTTACAGAGTGAGAAAAAAGAAAAGAACATACTGAAAAGCTCCTTCCCATCATCCAGGACAAAGCTAGGTAGGAAGCTGTATAAAACCTAAAAGAGCAAGCCAGGCTCTAGGCTGGGAGTGGCATAAAAACTCAAAGTTGGGGTTACCCACGTGTTTGGAGGAAAGAGTGCTGAGCTGTGGGGGAGAAGCCCTGAATTCTGGATTGGCTCTTAGTCATGTAACTGTGTCCAAGTCACCTCGTTGTGCTTTAGTTTTCTTTTTCTACAGAAGGGTTCAGCCCATTTCTCTTCTTTTTTTTTTTTTTTTTTTTTTTTTTTTTTTTTTTTGAGACGGAGTTTCGCTCTTGTTGCCCAGGCTGGAGTGCAATGGCGCGATCTCGGCTCACCGCAACCTCCGCCTCCTGGGTTCAGGCAATTCTCCTGCCTCAGCCTCCCGAGTAGCTGGGATGACAGGCACACGCCACCATGCCCAGCTAATTTTCAGTACTTTTAGTAGAGACGGGGTTTCACCATGTTGACCAGGATGGTCTCGATCTCTTGACCTGGTGATCCACCCGCCTCGGCCTCCCAAAGTGCTGGGATTACAGGCTTGAGCCACCGCGCCCGGCCCCCATTTCTCTTCTTAGTCTCACATGAGGATAGAATGAAATGATAGATGTGTAAGTGGCTAGTAGGGAATAAAGTAATGTATGTATCTGTATATAAATAAATAGCATGGGATTTTCTTTTTTTCTAAAAGTGAAACTCGGCTTCATAAATTATTTAAGCCTCTCTGCTGGATCCACCCTTTGGAGAAAAAGATGGAAGAGAAAATAATCCCAAAGCCCAAAATGCTTCTGATGCTTATAACTGGGCTCTACCATTTGGTTGTCTGAAAGCTGAGACTAAGCTTGAGAGAGAAACATGCTCAGGAGCTCCACAGCAGAGGAATTCGGCAGGATCCCTATTCATTCTTCTTATGGTTGTAAAGAGCTCTTTTCTCCAAAGAGCGCGAGAGCAAAGAACTTACGTGTGGAAGTCACAAAAGCAGGGAAAATTACAGCATGGCCCTGAGAAGAGGAACTAGGTCAGGCTGCTCTCCCTCAGAGAGAGGTAGTGTCTGTTCCCGGGACAGCTCAGGCTTCATGACACACAGAGACAGAAGCATGCTGGGAGCAGGGGCGGCTCCGGGAGTCCATGGAGGACAAGGAGGCATAAGCCATGAGCACTTTAAGAAAAACTGCTTCGTCTCTCTAGCTTTTACTCTGTGTTCTATTTGTCTCTACCCAGTGGCTCTGGTCTCAGTGACTCGGTGTCAGTGCTCAGGCCCAAGGGGCCCAACCTTGCAAACAAACGTTGCCTGATGCTACCTGATAAAAATGAGAGAAGGCTGGCATGTGTCTCAACACTGTTCCCTCTTACGTTATCTTACACCAAAGCACAGAGGACACACGTAATTGAGAGAGCCATCAAAACCGGAGTCTGATTCAGGAGGTGCTCCTTCCCCTAACTCCAGGCACCAGAGAGATTAATTCAGAAACTTGACTCAGGGTGCAAAAGGGTGTGAAAAATGCCATGCTGGTTCATGCAAATGGTCCCTTTTAGCTCTGGTTTCTTAGGAGGGAACCACAGGAGAGCAGAGGCAACCTCTTGTGGTCCCTGGCCAGCTTTGGATAAACGGGAACAGATTGGTCATCATCCGAGATTTTACCTGGAGTCTTCACGAATCGCTTCTTCTGGCCTGTCAAAAAGCAAGTGCAGGTTTGGATGGCAGGGAACAAAGTTGACGAGGAGGCTGAACACTGCATGAAGAGAGGACCAAGCCAATGAGAGAACAACGGCAGCAACAGAAAACCAAACAAACCCTGCAACAGACCTGACGGGGGATGAGTCGCTGGACGTGGATGAGGTGGGCATAGGGCTGGATGGCGCCGAGAACATGGGCCAAGATGGCGAGAGGGGTGAAGTTGGGCTTGGATTCGGGGGGCTGCAAGACATAACAACCAGAAAACTTGTCAGCACACAGGGAAACCACAATGGGAGCACAGGAGGTCATGGGAGGCCGGATGACGGAAAGCTGGGCAGAGCAGAGGAGCACTGACACCCAGGGACATGCTGTCAGGGTCATGTCACCTTCCTCCAGACCAAACCTCCGTGTCCTGGTAACGTCTGTTCTGTAATTCCTCGGAGCATAAACAAGCTCTGCCCTGGAAGTTCTGCCCTGCAGAACAACTGCTTTTCAGGTGACAGAAGCTTCTTCGATCATGTCCATTGGTGACAAATGCCCTGAGCCCATGCACACGAGTTCCCACACCTACTTCCTATCACCAGCCTTGTTCTGATGCAGGGCTAGCTTATAACGAGCCTTTAGCTTCCACTGTTGTGGGAGTGTTTTTCAAGTTATGTCTCAGCAGAAATGACCATTTTTTTTTTCTTTTGGGCCACAAAGGCCATTCAGTGAGAAAATAATTTCCTGTTTGCATTTTTAACTAGATGGGCTGTGTGCCACTGGAGATTCAAAGTACTGCATGAAGACAGCGATAGCCAATGGAGGTGAATACGGACACATCTCTTGGGAGGCGGTGTGCAATTACCAGCAGAATGCGGTTCCTCTGAGGTTTGCTGCCCAGGCTTGCCCTTTCTCCTTTCGTGGAATTTGGGCATTATGATGCTCAAAGAAAAAGCCCCAGAGGGAAGGCAATGAAAAAAATGAACTGAAACCTTCAATTTGTCCATTTTGTTCTTTGACGGGTGGCTAATCAAAAGTTTGGAGAGGAAAGGTTGAAATTACTCACTGAAATGTGGCTTGTGGATTTTAATCGGTTGTGCTAGCCCTTTGACTTATTTCCACAAATTACACAAGCACCTTCGCAACTCTGAAATCATAAGTCACAGTGCAAACACCAATGACTGACAGAAACCAGTTCAGCCACACCACTTGCCTCCCCTGAATCTCAGCTGACTGCTGGACTGTTTGAACCAAGCATTTCACGGGGGCAAAAATGACAGAAATCCGGTTCAATAAGTGTACCACAATTTAGCAAGAACACAAAAATATCCTGCTTACTGGGACCTCCCTAGGGTTATACCAATTCAGACATGAGACCCCATAACAGCCCCAATTACCTGCTGTTGTAACATAAACACCATAGACAAGTAACAGCAAAAACCACAGTGTGAGTTCATCAGAGAGGATCAAACCAATGTGACTGATAAACGGTTTGTTCAATTCCATTATGCATATTATATTTCTAGAATATAAATTCCATGAGGAAGAGGCTTTTGTTTTGCTTACTGCTGTATATCCAATGTCTAAAATAGTGTCTATAGGTATTATATTTAACAAATCATTATTGAGTAAATTAATGAATCTCATTTACCCACCTGATAAGGCCACAAACAGGTACTACTGTAATTCTCACTTCGCAGATGTGGAAACCTAAGAGGAGGCTTCCTTAAGGATGCCCAGCCTATAAGTGATAGGGCTGAGGTTCAAACCCCCAGTGCACTACCTCTGAGATAGCAGGACGTGCCCTGCTCCTCTAGGCTGTGCTAAGTTTTTTTTAACAGACTCAGTCATAGCATTAGAATTCTTCTTAACCACTGATTCATGGGCTTCCTTTAGATACCTACCCTATTTGCAAGGGAAAATGAGAATACAGTGACAGAATCGCAGTAAGACTCAACATCTTGCAAATTCCAACAAAATCCCCAATCCCGCTTCCAGCGTTCGGTCTGGTGGATTCATACAGCAGACAGAATTCATATAAGAGAATAAATAAAATTTAGAAAGTATGACTTTAAAAAAATTTTTTTTCTTAATCCAACAAAAACTAGTCATTGAGCACTTAGTATGTCCAAGACAGTAAGTGGTATTTGCCAAGATCCCTTGACTTCAAGAGCTTAAACTGTATTTGACAAGAAGCGACAGATTTAAAAACAACAGTAATGTAAGACAAGTAAGATCCATCAGCTGAGGGCTATTATTAGCTTAATACCTGGCTCCCACTTGACTGTCTCCAGTCCCAGGAAAAGTGTCAACCCTTTTCTACTGTGCAGTCTCCATTTTCTTCCACAGCTGCTGCTAGTCAGAGAAGCCTCACTTTCTCAGTGCTCTCACCACAACCCCGCCCCTCCAGACAGTGACCTAGTACAACAACCTAGTAGGCCAGGCCTGGCAGCAACTTTCAAACCACAGCCCAGTCCAGGGACAATGTGGAGGTTCAAGACAATAGCCCAGACCCAGAGGCTTGTATCAATCTGTTCTTTTGGTCAGTGGTTACCACAGGACAATTAAAAAGTCCTTCCAGCATTTTTTTTTTTTAATGACTTTAATAAGTAGGAAACACCTCCAGCTTCCTATTCCATCTGTACCAAGAATTATGCCTTTGGCTAATGGCATAGTAGGGAACATATTCTGTGAATACAATGTGGGTTCTAAATGTTTTTCAAATCCTCAGATATCTAAGTGGTTCTTGGCCAGAAGTACATGGCTGGAATTACCTGGGGGTGCGGCTGGAATGCAGGATATTCGTAACTATTATAAGAACTTACTCCTTAATCCCCATGTCGATTGCCATAGTATCAACTGCATTTATTATTATTATTTTTTAAGATAGGGTTTTGCTCTTGTCGCCCAGGCTGGAGTGCAATGGTGCGACCTTGGCTCACTGCAATCTCCACTTCCCGGGTTCCAGTGATTCTCCTGCCTCAGCCTCCCGACAGCTGGGATTATAGGTGCCCACCACCAAACCCGGTTAATTTTTTGTATTTTTAGTAGAGATACGGTTTCACCATGTTGGTCAGGCTGGTCTTGAACTCCTGACCTCAGGTGATTCACCCACCTCAGCCTCTCAAAGTGCTGGGATTACAGGCATGAGCCACTGTGCCCAGCCTCAACTGCAATTTTTAACAACAGAATTTCATTTGTTTATGTTTTAGCCATAGCAGTAACATTTGCTATAAAGTGACCGCATTTTATCATTTGATACCACCATATTTCAATTAGTATAATAATAAAATGCATACAGCAATTTTTTTTTAAAATTATACTTTAAAAGTTCTGGGATACATTTGCAGAACATGTAGGTTTGTTACACAGGTACCCATGTGCCATGGTGGTTTGCTGAACCCATCAGCCTATCATCTCCATTAGGTATTTCTCCTAATGCTATTCCTCCCCTAGCCCCCTAGCCCCTGACAGGCCCTGGTGTGTGATGTTCCCTTCCCTGTGTCCATTTGTTCTCATTGTTGAACTCCCACTTATGAGTGAGCACATGTGGTGTTTGGTTTTCTTTTCCTGTGTTTGTTTGCTGAGAGTGATGGTTTCCAGTTTCATCCATGTCCCCGCAAAGGACATGAACTCATCCCATTTTTTGGCTGCATAGTATTCCATGGTATATGTGTGCCACATTTTCTTTATCCAGCCTATCATTGATGGGCATCTGGGTTGGTTCCAAGTCTTTGCTATTGTGGATAGTGCTGCAATAAACATATGTGTGCATGTGCCTGTATAGTAGAATGATTTATAATCCTTTGGGTATATACCTAGTATGAGTATTGCTGAGTCAAATGGTATTTCAGTTGTAGATCCTTGAGGAATCGCCACACTGTCTTTCACAATAGATGAATGAATTTACACTCCCACCAACAGTGTAAACGAATTCCTATTTCTCCACGTACTCTCCAGCATCTGTTGTTTCCTGACTTTTTAATGATTGCCATTGTGACTGGGGTGAGATGGTATTTCATTGTGGTTTTGATTTATATTTCTCTTATGACCAGTGATGATGAGTTTTCTTCCATATGTTTGTTGGTTGCATAAATGTCTTTTTTTGAGAACTGTCTCAAAAGATATCCATCACCCACTTTTTGATGGGGTTGTCTGTTTTTTCTTGTAAATTTGTTTAAGTTCCTTGTAGATTCTGGATATTAGCCCTTTGTCAGATGGGTAGATTGCAAAAATTTTCTCCCATTCTGTAGGTTGCCTGTTCACTCTGATGATAGTTTCTTTTGCTGTGCAGAAGTGCTTTAATTAATTAGAACCCATCTGTCAATTTTGGCTTTTGTTGCCATTGCTTTTGGTGTTTTAGTCAGGAAGTCTTTGTCCATGCCTATGTCCTGAATGGTATTGCCTAGGTTTTATTCCAGGGTTTTTATGATTTTAGGTCTTACATTTAAGTCTTTAATCCATCTTGAGTTAATTTTTGTATAAGGTGTATGGAGTTGTCCAGTTTCAGTGTTTTGCACATGGCTAGCCAGTTTTCCCAACACCATTTATTAAATAGGGAATCCTTTCCCCATTGCTTGTTTTGTCAGGTTTGTCAGAAATTAGATGGTTGTAGATGTGTGGCATTATTTCTGAGGCCTCTGTTCTGTTCCACTGGTCTATATATCTGTTTTGGTACCAGTACCATGCTGTTTTGGTTACTGTAGCCTTGTAGTATAGTTTGAAGTCAGGTAGTGTGATGCCTGTAGCTTTGTTCTTTTTGCTTAGGATTGTCTTGGCTATATGGGCTATTTTGGTACCAGATGAAATTTAAAGTAGTTTTTTTTTTTTTTTTCCTAATTCTGTAAAGAAAGTCAATGGTAGCTTGATGGGGATAGCATTGAATCTAAATTACTTTGGGCAGTATGGCCATTTTCATGATATTGATTCTTCTTATCCACGAGCATGGAATGCTTTTCCAGTTGTTTGTGTCCTCTCTTATTTCCTCGAGCAGTGGTTTGTAGTTCTCCTTGAAGAGGTCCTTCACATACCTTGTGAGTTGTATTCCTAAGTATTTTATCCTCTTTGGAGCAATCATAGATGGGAGGTCACTCATGATGTGACTCTGTTTGTCTATGACTGGGTGTATAGAAATGCTTCTGATTTTTGCACATTGATTTTGGTATCCTGAAACTTTGCTGAAGTTGCTTATCAGCTTAAGGAGATCTGGGGCTGAGATAACGGGGTTTTTCTAAATATACAATCATGCCATCTGCAAA